CCATTTAACTTGATGAAGGTAAACATAATGATACAAACAATGTGTCTCTTCTAAGAGGCTTTTGGGAGGGAATTCAGCAAAATGTCGAATCAATCCAAGATATATTTGATTGTGGCGATGTTTGACAGGTCATTACACAAATATTTCGAAAAAAATTCAAACTTGAAGAGCCTGTAAATGTTTCTTTTGTAAAAAAATATATGAATGGTCAATGAACAGATTTGATTATACCGTAGCAACGCAATATTTCCACGTAGTAAAAATAAGGTAATTAACCATAACTTGACAACGCCGCAACCGATTCCAATTTTTTTTCCAGCTATAAAAAGGCGAAAGATGTCGGAATGAATTTTTGAATGAAAATACAGGGTGTTCCATTTGAAAAATTCTGATGAATGTCATCTGAATCTTGCAAAATTCTGAATGCAAAATTGAGCACCCTGTTGAAGAACATGTCGTAAAATTACTAGATTGGTATACGTGGGACCTTGCTTCTACCGTATGCCAAAAATATTTTCAAAATTTGAATATACCATGCCCCTCGCCATGCCCAATTCAACAATAATGGTAAAAATAGATTTATCAATTATAACTTGGCAACGCCGCAACCGATTTCAATTTTTTTCACAGCGATGTGAAGGTGAACCTTGGCGGAATCAATTCCGAATGAACAATACTGGGTGTTCCATTTAAAAAAAATCTTCTTCGAGTTGCCCTGCTTTTATAAAACACCCAGTAATGTTGAAAATAATTTTGAAATGAGCAATTTTAGTAACTGAAGAAGTTTTTTCTCCAAAGTTTTTCTCTATAGGTTATGGCTTGCGAGATATCGAAGAATTACGCACTAAATGGACACACTTTATACGACATGGTGCTTATTAAGGGCCACTTCAATATGAAAGACCCTTTTCGTTCAGGTTCCAGAAGATTTCTTCCGATCCCTGTTCTCGTCTACGAAGAAGGCCAAAAGTTTTCCATCTCCTACGAGTGAAGGGGGAAGGGGTTGGTCCAGCCCTGTGGTGCCCCCTGCTGGTGTACTGGAAAAAGGGGTAGAAGAAGATATTTGTAGGTAGAGTACACTAATGGTTCATCTCCGCTGGGTGGACAGTCACTACCATGTTGTCTCGTGCCACTTGTCTTTCTTATTGACTTGTGACACATGCCGATGCTCTTTCCGCCTAGGTCATGATTTTATCGCGATGGAGAAATAAGAGTACAATATCGGTAAAACATCTACGTAGAAATTGTCGGAAAGTCGAAAAATAGTGATAGAATTTCAATTCCGCCAGTGGCGTAGAATTTGGGAGGGATCAACCAGTCAATTGGCCCTGTCGTACGCATCTGGTAGTAGCCAGCGACGTTCCATGAACATAATTTAGTAGGGTGTATAGTACATACACTCCCCACCAGATATTACAATAATCACATGTTGTATGTCCGAAATAATGGCAGCCCTGTGCCGTGGATTTGCCTCAGATTGAAGGGTAGCACCAGTAGGGTTTTGAGATCTACCGTTCAATTGCGCCACACAGCACATGTATGTTCAATGTACGTACAATGTACGTCCACGTCGGATCGTGAGGACGTCCAATGGAAGTACTCGAGTACTCGAGTGGACGTTCAGCATCCTATGGACGTCCACTGAATGTCCTGATGACACCACTTTGGACGTACTGTGGATGTCTTCATGTGGATGTACAGTGGATGTTCATATTTGGACTCACAATGGATGTACATGTCTGAGCATCCATTGGACGTACCAAATTGGACGTTAAACGTCCAATGAAAGTCCATTGGATGTCTTGAGGACACCACTTTGGACGTACATTGGATGTTTACATGTGGGTGTATAATGGATGCTCATCTTCGGGAATCAAATGATGAAAAATCAGTAGGTAGCAAATATAAATTCTTCTATTGAGATATATATTTGGTGTCGATTGCATATATATAAATATATTGTTGATTCATGTCTTCTTTAGTCCACTTCAAATTCTTGTTTCTGTAAAAAAAGAGAAATATTATAAATTGCTATATAGGTAGAAATCACTTGTCTATACCCATTCTATACCCCAAATCCTGTTCAGCTCAACTCTGACTGGTGAATGAAGCCTTATTTACATCGCTATATACTTAGGTACTCCTTCTATCAAGCCGCCCATTAAAAATCAATAACGACCTGTAGGATGATAAAGCATAAGATTATAACTATATTAGATAATATATCAAAACCTACTTCAAATGATCTGGTCCTGAATATTCAGCATTCCACAATTCATCACAAACACAACACATCATATGTTTACGGTTTATCAACTGAAAATGGCATCAGAATCACGCCAGACGCTACCGCTACTCTACCGACCGATCTGACCTTCTACCTCCCCTTCACGTGGCTAAAAAATCAATAGTCCTACGTCCATCTCTGAACGTACAATGTACGTTCATTCAACGTCCATAAACCTCCAGATTTAAAATGATTTCATACAGACATTTACTTTGAACAGTTATTTATATACATATAAATATAATATTCATTCTTCATTCATTAACGATTGAACTCATAATGGCCGTTAAATGGACATCCAATGTAAGTTTAATTTGAATCATCCAATGTACGTTCGTCTCTGTACGTACAATGGATGTTGATCAAACGTCCACGAGAGTTTTAGTCTTTGAGCTGACATGAAATGGATGTCCAACGGACGGTAATTTTGAAACATACATTGTACATCCATCTTTATAAGTACAATGAATGTACATTCTACGTACATGCGAGGTTGGACATTGAGTGGACGCCCACTGTACATACAATTTGGAGCATCCAATGATAATCCATGTTTGTACGTACATTGGATGTCCATTCAATGTCCATGGACGTTTGGAATTGAAATGAACCTAAAATGGACGTCCAATGGATGTCATGTGCAGTATGGTATCGGATGGCGTGATTCCCATCTCGTTATCAAATTGCGCAATTAAGTGCTAATTATCGCACAGGAGGATGCCATTTTTCGATCATGTTGTTCTTGATAGTGATTGGCACAAGTGCCGTTAGATAAAATACAATGGTTTTACATGCCTTTACGGTCGAAATTTGCAGCCGGCTCTTGGACTATTAGAACTTCCGAGGAATAAGGCGAAAAAGAAAAGTGAGCGGTGAAAAATGCCGAATCGATGATATTGATTTGTGACCGATCGATGACCGACTTTCGCCAACGCGTGGTATCTCCTTGGAATGCACTGTTTTGAGTTCATCGAACCGAAAATAAACATCTACCTAATGTACCCACTGAAAAAAGTTGTATATTTTACTTTGTAATATTCAATGTACAGGGTCTCCACGTACGTATATATTCTGAACCCCCACTTAGCATCTTTATGTATTGTTAATTTTTTTTCAAGGAACGTTTTTTTATATTTTTTCCAGTACATTTCATTTATGCCAACAGAAAAACAGTTGAACATCTCAAAAAATACTTATGGGCAACAATTATAATTTTTTCAATAGGACACCCTGTATTTTATTGCATTTTCAGATTCTTCCTGGAGAGCTGATTTCATCGATTTATTATCATAGTTGGGGCCTAGCTGAAATGATTATACCGGGTGTTCTCCAAAAGTAGCTCACCCCTATAACTTTTTTGTTTATACAGATAAACAATTGAAATTTGGTGTGTAACTATAGTAAATAAATATGTATTATTCGACGTATTCAATTGTTCTCTGTCACTTCCGGTTTAACCAAAAATGACCTATATTTTCACATTTCAAATAGGACACCCGGTATATTTTAACTTATTTCGATAGAGCAATGCCGGCTACATATCAAGTAAGCTAAATAAATACGTAAAGCTCAAAGTCATTTCCACACAAAGTTCATAAAATGAACAACAATGGTAGATTTCGGAAGAAAAACAATTACTTTCCTGGCTAATACCACGCAGAAAATTGAATTACATCCTCCCGAAATCTATGTATCGACTCGTATAAACGAATTATTTCCTGAATGCCTATTGATTTCGATTTAGCTAGGCCACGCTAGACAACCACAGACCGGTTTCGAGCTCTTTGACTCTCATCAGTGCAGTGTAGTCTCCATCAGCCAGCAGTCCTAAGACTGGCTATATGCCACGACGAATATTTAATTATATTTATTGAACACACACGATAAGAATTTGAAGATAAAATCTTCTGAAGTTGAGAATTTGCATTCTCCTTCAGATAAAGATATATGCACATAATATCATTCTGAATATTCAATAGAAAGTCGAAGTGAATATGTTAAACTAACAATATACATGTATTCTGAATATAACAAGATATTGTTTCCATTTCAATACAAAATATAAAACAATTCCTTGAGTTTTAATGGTTTGTCTAATTTTGTGTTATTCTACAGATCCTGAGTGAAAAATACGTATATTTCTCCTTTCTTTAATCGACATGAAAATACTTACGCTATACGTTGCGTTATTGCTAAAAATCAGGGGTAAGGTATACCTACAACCACGCCCGCTTATGGAAGGTTAATTCGCGTATTAAAAATCGGGCATAGATTAACGACTCCCTTAATCTATGAATCGGGGGTGATGCCTCGCTCACAAACTCACTTACTACTCTGGAACACCGTAGAAAAGTTGTCGATCTGGCTCTTTTTTAGAGATATTTTCATGGACGATGCTCTTCTGAAATATCAACAACTGTTCCTCCCTTGCCAGTCCTCGCGAGATTAACCCGTCGAGTTGAGGCTTCGCACACCTTCGTGGTCACTTTGGAGACCTGCAGAACATCTCTTTCCAAAGACTCGTTCATCCAACGAATAGCGAGGCTCTGGAACACATTGCCAAGAGCAATGTTCCCCGAGGCATATAACATCCACCAATTCCTACCTTATTTCCCTTGGTTCTCACGATGTTCTCTGAACATTACAGGATATCAATTTTCGTGCGAACCAGAACATGTAAAAAAAAATTATATTCCAGGCCGTTCTTTTCCCGATGGACGAGAAAACCGCCCTGGTGCTGGCCTTGCAGCTAGTGGCCCTCTTCTCCATAGCCGGCGCCCTGCTGCTCTACCTGCTGTGCAAGATCCGGGCCTCCAGCACGGATCTGCTGGACGGCAGCACTCCGGGGGCGGGCAAACCGGTGCTGGTCACCTCGGCCGATACCGCCATTGGGCTGCAGGTGAGTTAAAAGGCAGATGAATATGTTCGATGCTTGAGTGCAGTGGACTGTATTTCGATAGTTTGATGATGATATATTATATGAAACGGAGATTGATATAGGAATTGTAATTCCTCGTTGAATTTCATTGATCCGGCTCGAAGGACCAATATGTTCGATGCTTGAGTGCAGTGGACTGTATTTCGATAGGTTTTGATGATTTAGGAAACGAAGATTGATAATAGAAAATGTATTGTCCCACTATACAGTATCGATTCAGGGTTGAAGAATCATGGAAACGGAAAAATCACACGTTTTTTTCCCAGATCGCCATCCATTTGGCGAACAGAGGCTTCCGAGTGTTCGCCGGCCTCAAAGACGGAGCCTCTACAGGCTCAGCAGAGGACTCCGCTTCCTCCAAGGTCATCAGCGCGTGGCAGAAGCACAGGGAGAGCGTTCAGGGACAGGGGGTGCTAGTCGCTCTGCCTCTCGACGTCACTAGGGAGGACCTCCTCCACGAAGCCGTGGACGTTATCAGAGCCCATCTGCCGGCCGGAGAGGACGGTATGTTCCCTTTCGAGAAGATGTACAGGGCGTGCCAAATTGGACACTTTTAAAGGGAAAGTCCTTTTTCGTACCAGATAGAACAAAACTGATGTTGGTACCTCGGTTGGTACCTGTTGGTCAATTCACATGAAAAACTCAATGGTGAAAACTGCATATCGATATCTATCCTCGTTTCAGAGTTAAAAGGTGTTTTTCGAAAATATGAAGTTTCAAGAAGTGGCTGAACCTCATTTTGTTGTCAAAAACATGAAAACATTTCCAAAGCATTGTGTTTGTCATGAAAATTGATCCTCAGGCATTGAAATCAGTCACCATATACCTAGTTTCGAAATAGAACTTTTTCTTCAAGAAGAACAAATTATATTCTTGAACAAGATATAGGAAGGCCGATTTCAGTGCCTAAGTATTGATTGTTATCACGAAGTCAATGCTTTGCAGTCATTTGCAGGAGAACATACAATTTTTGCCAACAAAAATATTTGTAGCCACTTTTAAAAATGCCCATTTTCGAAGAACATCTTGAAGACGGATATCGATATGCAGCTTTTACCATTGAGTTTTGCATGAGAATCGACCCTCAGGCACAGCCATCAGTTTTCTTCAATCGTGTTGGAGAAAGTGACCAATTTGACCCACCCTGTACAGGCTGTTTTTTTATATTTCGATACAGGTTGTCCGGAAAAATCATGTCGTAAATGATAGGGCTGATAGAGTGAGCCAAAATAATGTTAGTACTTCAGATAAAAAAAGGTCTATCGCTCCTATATAAACTACTCAACACTAATTTCGTCGCACACCAAAATGTCGCCCCTGTTATAATGTGAATAACTTTTTTCAGTTTGGAACAATTTGAATTTGGTTCACACTGTTCGATAGCCCAGTCCTTCAGCTATAATCTCGTACTTCATCGAAACATAAGGGTATTCACATAAAATCTCTACATGGTGTTTTCCGACACTGTGCGAAATTTCGGAATATTCAAAAGGCTCTCAAATGGTGGAAAAAAATTTTTTCTCAACTTCGACAACAGAGTCATGGAGATGATCTCATTACCTCGAGATATTTCGCGAATCAACTTCCTATCTCTCTTATTTACAGAGTGATCTCAAAAAATCAACTTTTTGGTTTTGCAGCCATAACTTTTTTCCACGTCAACCGATTTGGGAAATCTTAGGCTCATTTTGAAGATAGAACTTCAGATGAAGAGATCTGAATATCAGAATTGACTCAAGATGGCTATCAAAGATTAGGAGTTTTCTTGAAAGTGACCCAAATCTGGAACGCCCTTCGAATCTTGGTTGGGAGGAGAATTGAATGAAAATCAACTTGTCCTCGGAAAAACAATTCATTCTAGATGCGTCCATATTTTCCTCGCTCTCATTAGTCAAGAATTGTGCGTGAGAAAACACAATTGAAACATGTTCTTGCAAAAACATTAGATCATTTCTCCTCTGTAATGCATGGCCCGCCGTAACCAACGTTACAAGAATCACAATGAGTGACTGACAAACCCGACCAGCTGAGGCCCATCATGAATGGTGTACCAACAAGAGCAACGGATTCTGATTTTTTCAATAAAGTGATTTTTTTACAGTTGTCACGTACATAACATGCGATTCAAGAATATGGAGAAGTATTCAAGCAAACAACGTTTATTTATTGTAAAAACGCATTTCAAAAATGGTGACAGTTTCACGAAAACAGTTTGCCAATTACGTAAAGTTTTCAGTCGCACTAATGCGCCGAACGAATCGACAGTAATAACCAAACAATTCGTGTCGAAGATAAGCCCTTTGAATGGATCGGACTGTCGTGTTTTTTTTTTAGCAGATCCGCGATTTGGAGGGAAGATAACCCTTGTTCCCTCATTTGTGGAATCAGTTCCAACTGGTCTGGCGTTAGATGCGGCATCGAAACTATCAAAATCTGTTTATGATTCGAAAACGACGTCTAACCTGACTTGTCAGTCACTTACTGTGATTCTTGTAACGTTGGTTACGGGCCATGCCGGAGAAATGGTCTGATGTTTTTGCAAGAACATGTTCCAATTGTGTTTTCTCACGCACATTCTTGAGTACTGAGAGCAAGGAAAATATGGACGCATCCAGAATGAATTGTTTTTCCGAGAACAAGTTGATTTTCATTCAATTCTCTTCCCAACCGAGATTCGGAGGGCGTTCCAGATTTGGGTCACTTTCAAGAAAACTCTAGATCTTTGATAGCCATCTTGAGTCAATTCTGATATTCAGATCTCTTCATCTAAAGTTTAATCTTCAAAATGAGCCTAAGATTTCCAAAATCGGTTGACGTGGAAAAAAGTTATGGCTGCAAAACCAAAAAGTTGATTTTTTGAGATCACTCTGTAAGTAAGAGAGATAGGAAGATGATTCGCGAAATATCTCGAGGTAATGAGATCATCTTCATGCCTCTGTTGTCGAAGTTGAGAAAAACATTTTTTTCACCATTTGAGAGCCTTTTGAATATGCCGAAATTTTGCACAGTGTCGGAAAACACCATGTAGAGATTTTATGTGAATACCCCTATGTTTCAATGAAGTACCAGATTATAGCTGAAGGACTGGGCTATCGAACAGTGTGAACCAAATTCAAATTGTTCTAAACTGAAAAAAGTTATTCACATTATAACAGGGGCGACATTTTGGTGTGCGACGAAATTAGTGTTGAGTAGTTTAGTTACGGAGTTATTTACTCTGAAAGTTTGTGCAAGTCCATACATATACATGCATTACCAAAGTATTAAATACTGTCAGAATAACTTGATGTCAATTATGACGATGACTGCAACTGCCATGATGTTATTGAATGAGTTAATAATAGTTATTTTTTCTGTGACGGGAAAAAAGTTTGGCATTTCATCTCTGTTGGCAGGTTATAAAATGTCACTTTTCATAAATTACTTTTTTCCCGTGGGAAAAAAGTGAGTACTTCTTTCCCGGATATATATCACATATATATACTCTGTTAATGGCTTTTGTTGTGCTATAGTTCCGAAAAATAAGTCAATAATACCGTCTCCGAGAAAGAACTGCAAGTCCTTTTATCTTCCATTCGACTTCGCGGTTTCGTATATTACTAAACAACTACTGAATTCGCAATTTTTTAAAATCAAATCACAGAATTGAACTGACAGAAGTGACATCAGATATTTGATTACTTCAAAAGAATGATAAAGATGTCTATAAAACGCAGGTGTTCCTACTGTTAAAAACTTGAAATTTCACTTCGATAATTTTCAGATTTCGAAATAATGTAATATCTTCTCAATATTGATTCGTGCTTCCTTCTGTCACAGAAAAAAATAGTGTATTATACACGGGAAAAATATTAGATTTTAGCTCACGGTTTTTTGTCTCCAACTGTCTCCAACAACTACTTTCCGATTTGAAGATGAATGTCAATTCTCAATTTCGGAGGACTTTATTCTTTATTTTTAATGTCATCCTTTTGAATGTTCATCAGATATAATTCAATATTCGACGTGGTAGTTGTTTTCTGTTGAATATTCAGAATGATGTGTGCATACACATTTTTTTTTCTGAAGGAAAATGCAAATTCTCAATTTCCGAAGTTTTTATATTTTATTTTCAAACTCTTATCGTGTGTGTTCAATAGATGTAATTCAATGTTCGTCGTGGCATATAGCCAGGAAAGTTGTTGTTTTCTATTGAATCAACTGAAAAAGAGTAAATATACTCAACACATAGAGAATGCGAATTCTCAATGTTGCTTTATATAAATATATATCCATTTTTGTATGTTCATAATTCATCTGAGAATATTCCTTTTCAATAATAGTTATTCAACCAACTAGTGTATTAATCGCCTTTTAATAAACAAGTTGGTTACAAAATTTTTCCGTCGACTATATTTCTCATTTCTCCTGCAATGAAGAAAACTTGGTTCGCGGATTCATCATCCATCCGGGAACTGCTAAGAATCGCCCAGTAGCCTTGTTACTGATATTAGTGACATTTGACATTTGTCGAAATGATGAACATAGGAAATAAATTCCTTGTGTTAGAAAACAGGGATTAAAATCGTGTCAGAAACTTGGAGGCGAACCCTATGCACGCGGTGTATGTTTGGTTGCCTATGAAACAATCGTGCATTAATAGACAAATCGTTCATTAATAGAATAAGGGTCATTAATGAACGATTTCATATACATTAAACTTAGTCGTTAATACGAGGTCGACGGAAAAGATTTTTGTCGACTTCTACAAAAAATCACATTTTACGTTCTAATTTTCAAAGTACTTATAGTTCACAGACACTGTCAGTAGATCTCCTGATTTGCATATTGATCTATTGATCTACTGAAACATTTCATAACCAAGTGAGAAATATTTGGACACTTATCTATCATTATAATTACCGATATTATTATTAATCTTCAGTTATATCAAAGACTGGAACATTTGGCACGTGTTTCGCTGACTATGTTAGCATCTTTAGAAGATGCTCTATACTAGGCATATATACTAGGCATATGACCACCCAACTGTGAAAAGACAATAACCGCCAAGTTAATGTTATTCATGGTTAAATGGGTCTCAACACCAACAAAGCGTGTGGCTCCGACGAAATCCCACCGATTGTTCTCAAGAAATGTGCTCCCGAACTAACACCTGTTCTCTGCAAGTTGTTCAACTACTATTTCAAATTGGGGATATTCTCGTCCAACTGGAAAATTGCAAGAGTACAACCAGTTCCTAAAAAAGGCAAAAAAACCCTACCTAGCAACTACAGACCGATCGCACTGCAATCTATTATTTCAAAGATCATGGAGAAAGCTATCAATATTGAGCTCATGAAATACCTGGAACATTCATGTATTAATAACGATAGGCAATATGGCTTCCGTCATCATAGATCAACTGGTGCCCTGCTGGCTTACGTCTCACATATATGGCAGCAACTATTGAAAAATATGGTGAAACCTTGGCCGTGGCCGAGGCATTCGATCGAGTCTGGCACCACGGGCTCCTCACCAAATGTCCATCTTATGGCTTGCCTCCCCAGCTATGTTCTCTGCTAGCTAGTTTTCTCCATGTAGTGGTCGACGGAGTTTCATCTGACTCTCTTATCATAAATGCTGGTGTTCCGCAAGGGTCAATTCTAGAATCAACACTATTTCTACTCCATATCGACGATTTGTTGGAAGCAACTTCATGTCCAATACACAGCTTCGCGGGCGATAGTACCATCCATACCGCCTTCTCTTCTAGGGATCCAATACCAGCCAGGCAAATCAGAAACGAACGAGGAAGAAATGTTGCCAACATAAATATGGACTTGGTAACAATTCTCGAATAGGGATCGAATAACTTGGTTGATTTCAATGCAAACAAAACACAAGCATGCCTTTTCTTTAGAACAGTCGATCTTATTGTGCCCAACATAAGCTTGTCAGGGAGTAACCATTCCTTTGAAGACATCCATTTCGATGCTTGGTATTACTATCAGCAATAACCTTCATTGGGAAAATCACGTGAGATCAATTGCTAAAAGTGCATCCCAAAAACTTGGTGGTCTGTTTCGGACCAGGAGCTATTTCGCTTCCAGTCAGCTGCTTATGATTTATAAAAAAAGACAATGCCTCGCTCACAAACTCATTCACTCCTCTGGAACACCGTAGAAAAGTTGGCGATCTGGCTCTATTTCATAGATATTTTCATGGACGATGCTCTTCTGAAATATCAACAATTGTTCCTCCCCAGTCTCCGCGAGATTAACCCGTCGAGTTGAGGCTTCGCACCCCTTCGTGGTTGGAGACCTGCAGAACATCTCTTTCCAAAGACTCGTTCATCCAACGAAGAGCGAGGCTCTGGAACACATTGCCAAGCGAGGTGTTGCCCAAGGCATATCACCTCCAGAAATTTAAGAAGAACATCAATTCCTCCCTTATTTCCCTTGGTTCTCACGATGTTTTCTGAACATTACAGGATATCTCTTTTCGTGGGAACCAGAACATAGAAAAAAAATCTTTGGAGATGCAACCTTGTGGTTTTGGTCCTGTGCCACTTGTTTGTGAAACTCAAGATGGCTCAATCAAATTTTGCATAACTGTTTCCTTTTATGAGATACAGGGCGAATATACAGGGCGATGAAGATTTATACTTTTTGGACCCCCTCTACTACTACTACTTAGTAGATAAGTTTCTCAGCGAAAATGTCGAATTGAAATCTCATCCCACGCAGAATCCAGTGGCGCACTCATTTTTTTTTTTTCGAAAGATGGTTTTGCATATACGACTCAAACTTATGATTATGTAAATGGAACACCCTTTATTTCATAAGCTCATTACATTTCTTAATTTTTTCCCTTCAAAATGAAATTGTCTATCGTTCACGCCATCTATCATCGAATATGAGAACCCCACGTTCCGAACTCGCATTCAATTGTTCATATCGAGAGCTAGTCTGACGAAACAATTGAAGAGTAGGCACACCAAAGGAATTATAAACATTTCAGTTTCCATGATTCGAAACTTATATTTCCTTCGTTTTCAGGCATCTGGGCCGTAGTAAACACCAGCGGCCTGTCCTACCGCGGCCGTCTCGACCAGCAAGACAACTCCCACTGGGACGCCATGCTGAAAACCAACGTCGTCGGCGTCCTGCGCACCGCCAGAAAACTCCGACCACTGCTGCGCAACGCGGGCGGGCGCATCATCACGGTGGGCGCTACCGAGCAATTGGGTGCAGGTCTGGTCGCCTACGCGGCCAGCCGATTCGCCGTAGAGGGCGCTAGCAAGGCGCTCAGGCAGGAATTGGCGCCAGTGGGGATCAAAGTGGTGACGATCAATCCTCAGGGGATCATGCCCGAGTTGCTGTTTTCCGTTCCGAAGCTGAGCAGGTGACAATCTAGAAGGTTCTAGAACTTTCCGGAACATTCTCAAACACTCAGGAAGATCTCAGATCATTATTGGATATTCAGGATGCTTTCAAACATTCTGGGAGATCTAAAAATATTCTAGAGCATTCTCGAATATTCTAGAATTTTCTGGAACATTCTAAAACATTTTCGAATATTCTGGGAGGTCTCAGAGCATGATAGAGCATTCTTAGACATTTTGGAACATCAAAGAATGTTCTCGAATATTCCGAAACATTCAAAAATTGTCCATAGCACTCTTGAACATTCTGGAAGATTCAAGAAGTTTCCGGAAGATTTTCAAACATTCTGGAAGATCTGGGAATATTCTAGAACTTTCTCGAACATTCTGGGAGATTCTAAAACACCTGCAACATTTTACAACATTCCAATATATCTCAGAGCATTCGATAGTATTCTTGAAAATTTTGGATGATACATTCTGAAATATTAAAGGACATCCAGGAGTATTATAGAACATCATCGAACATCAACGTCATCAGCGCATTTGCGAATATTCTGGATTATTCTTGAACTTCCTAAAATATCCTAGAAGGTAGTACATTCTAAAGCATTATCAAATATTCTATAACACTCTCGAGAATTCTCGAGGACATGAAATATCCTATAATATTTTCGAACATTATAGAATATTCCAGAGCATGCTCGAACATTTTGGAAGATTTAACATTCTAAGACACTTTCGAACTATCGAGCCCTTGGGTGCAAGTCTGGTCGCCTACGCGGCCAGCCGGTACGCCGTAGAGGGCGCTAGCAAGGCGCTCAGGCAGGAGTTGGCGCCCGTGAGGGTCAAGGTGGTGACGATCAATCCTCAGGGGATCATGCTCGAGTTGCTGAGCAGGTGACAATCTAGAAGGTTCTAGAACTTTCAGGAACATTCCCAAACACTCAGGAAGATCTCAGATCATTATTCTTTCTGGGACATTTTTAAAGGTGCTTTAACATTCTGGAAGATCTGGAGATATTCTTGAGCATTCTCGAACATTTTGGATGATTCTAGAACTTTTTGGAACATTCTAAAACATTTTCGAATATTCTGGGAGGTCTCAGAGCATTCTACAGCATTATTGGACATTCTCTCTGAAACTTCAAAGAATGTTCCCAAATATTCTGAAAGGTTCAAGGATTTTCTATAGCACTATCGAACATTCTGGAAGATTCAAAAACTTTCCGGAACATTTTCAAACATTCTGGGAGATCTGAGAATATTCTAGAGAGAGAGAGAACACCTGGAACATTTTATATCTCAGAGAATTCTAGAGCATTCTTGAACATTTTGGAAGATTATTGAATATATTCAAAATTTCTGGAGGATTCAATGACATCCTGGCTCAGGCAGGAGATGGCGCCCGTGGGGGCCAAGGGGCCAAGATCATGCCCAAGTTGCTCTTCTACGATACGGAGCTGTGCTGGTAACATTTTAAGACGTTCTGGAAGATTCTAGAACTATCCGGAACATTCTTGAATATTATGGTAGATTTCAGAGCATTCTAGAACATTATTGAATGTTCGCAAACATTTTGGAAAATCTGAACATATTTTATAGCATTCTCGCACATTTTGTGAGATTCTAGAACTATATGGAACATTATTAAACATTCTCGAATATTCTGGAAGATCTCAGAGTATTCTAGAGCATTCTTGTGAAGTCTGGAACATCAAAGAGTTTTTTCAAATGTCCTGAAAGATTGTATAATATTCTTTTTCTATGACTGTTGAAAACTAGACCCTTTTAATGTAACATTTTTGTTGGGTAACTGGATGCATTACACAAAACAAGCCACGCCCCGTGTGTAAGAGCCTTTACACAACAGGCTATGGCCAATCAGCAACAAAGCAGATTCATTACCTACAAAACAGTTGACACCAGTTGTAATGATAATATGGGGCATGCAGTGAAACGTTTGAATCAGACTCGTCATGAAATGTCATAATTTGACAATAGCTATCTGACGTGATTTAGAACTGACTTTTTGTACAAATATGGATTCAGAAAGCGAAAATGAATGCAACTGCTCTCCACCATCAGAAGTTTCGAAAGCTGCCAATTCAAGTACAATCAGCCTTTTGCCCGAGGAATCTAAAAAAAGGTATGAAGTGGTTTGGCGAAAAGCAAAACTTGCAAATTCGTTTTCGGATAATGTACTGCTAACCTATTTTGGCGAATTAGCAGCTAAACACAAAGCATCCTCCTTGTGATCACAGTATTCCATGCATACTAAGAAGCACAATTTCAATGGAAAATTATGTGAATATTGACAAATATTTGAAATTACGAGCATTTCTAAAAAGGAAATCTGATCGATATAATTATGTCAAAGAAAGCGAAGATATTCACTGCTGATGAACTCAACCAGTTCATCACTCAGTCATAGAAAAAGTATAGTATTCTACTTGCGTGTAATGGCTATTACTCATTCGAATGATTACGACGTTCGCCTGCGGCTCACGTCGCAAACTTCATTCTCATGAGTAATGGCCATCATTACACGCTCGTCGAATAATATATACTATTAACAGTCGAATATTCTGGAGGATTCTAGAACTTTATGGAATATTCTGAAAGATTATTGAACTCTCTGGAATATTCTAGAACATTCTGAAAGATCTCAGAACATTCTTGATTATATAATACTATAAACATTCTGAAAGATCTGAGAAGATTCTAGGGCATTCTCTAACATTGTGGGCGATTCATAAACATCCTAGAATATTTTAGAATATGGATGGAACATGAATGGAAGATGATAGAACTTTCTCTAACATCCTAGAAATTACTTGACAGATAATCCACAGTCTCTTTGAACTGACAGAAAGAGGGAATAATCAGGAAAAAGTGCTTTGAATGCATGGCCTTTCCTTTTGTTCCCAAATGTAATTTAACAACAATAACAGCCGTTTGTTGTAATGAATCTTAATTTTCAGTAAACAGGGCCAAGAAGATACAACGGTGGAGATGACAGGATGCATGAACTATCAGCCAGTAGTTCTATCTTCCAGGGCTCTCCATATCCTGGATGTAGCCTTGACCAGTAGAAAACCAAAGGACAATTATAGCTTGGAGGAGAAACCGTGGTGTAAACCCTTCGAAATCCTAAAGATAGTTTAGGTACCTAAACTCTTAACCATCAATTCCATCACATACTCACCATGAAGAAATTTTTATGACCTATTTATATTGTATACCAATTCATGCAAAGAAAGTGGGTAGCGTTGAGCAAACTTTGGTATAGATATAGATATTTTTGGAAACTACAATTTCCACCTCAACCTTCGACCTATTCGACCTCAAAATGATTTTTGACAGGAGACGAAGAATGTTTCAGTCATTCATAGACACTGTAGAAAAAAATCTCAACAAATCTTGTTTATATGTTTCTTCACGTTTGTCTGTTAATTATAGATGTTTTGTATCTTAATCATATTTTAATTTTGTAAATAATCATTGTACATACTTATTCGTGAAATAAAGACATAAATAATTATAAAGAAAATAATGTTTATTCGAGATTTCATAAGGAAAGAAAATAATATTAAGAAAGTGGGAGGTAACATATGAACATTGATGTTAGTATAATGTATTATGGTTCTCCATCACTGATTATACATCAAACAGCATTACTTGGTAGCTAAGTCTGCTATTATTATATGAATTTTTAGGTATTACATAGTTGTAAACCAATGCTAAACCATTAGCTCCAACTAAACTGTTCAGCCTGCTGCTCGTTTGATTTCCAGTTGATAGCAAAGTGGTAACACCAGATTGTTGATACACCCTGACTCTCTGATACTCTGGTCGATTATCCTTATTTTCGAGTGCTGTGGCCTTCAAAAAATTCAACTGATTAGAAAGGGAAAGTTTAGGTCAGGCACCAAATAAGAAATTTGCAGCAATGATACCGATGTTGGTTGGTAACCAACTACAGACTGATTGATCAGACTAGAGGGCCTTTCCAGTCATTTCTAGAAAAAATATATCTCGAAATATATGGCTCTGGAATACATTAAAATAATGTTTGCAGATTTTTTTCCGTCAATTCATCGTATAAATAGTATATTATAAACCTAGGGTGAGAATTAGGTGAGCTATTATTCTATCTACATCATCATGTAATACCCTGCATCTACAAAATGTTGAGTGGGGTAAGGTGATATATTTAAATATACCTGAGTACTCTTTATCTAATGCGAGACATATGTCATGTGAAAATTATGGATCATAAACATACTTCGTTTATTAACTGTAAATGATCATTCCGTTTTTTGTTATTAAAAAGTTTGCATAAAGATGATAGGTTTCTTGAACTTACTATGACATTCATGATAGGAAAATCAATGACTGCACTTCTTTCAATATGTCTCAGTGTGGGAATTACAAACAACAGACAAGTAACCCCACAAGACACCGGATTGCCAGGTAGTCCGAAGACTACTTTGGTTTTTCCTGCGAACGAACACGTGGCAAAAGTTGTAGGTTTCCTGAAATCCAAGAAATTTATATAAGTATAGGTATAGTTAGTTAGCTTGCATATATTAATGTCTGAATCGACCTTACCCTGGCTTCATATTTACTCTAGCGAAATGAATCATCGCATCAAAATCTTGTTCTAGAACTTGCTTGAGAACATCGAATTCCCCCATTGACACTCCACCGCTGGTAATTACAACATCATTCTTCGAAAAAGCTGCATGGAGAGCTTTTTTCATAGAATCTGGACTGATTTTTCAAACGGATGGATTCATGTAAATAAAATCAATGTTTCATGTTCATTTTAAAATCATAAAAGAGTGTAGAATCTCATCTGATGGAAGTCGATTGAATGTGTGTACTTGGCTTCAGTTACATTGAAATATGCAGAAGTGATAATGAAAAAATAACTAGTGTATTGTTCATCAGAGATTGGCCCTAATCGTTCATGAACTAAATTTAACAAATTTCGTAATTCAACGGCATCACATTTTTCAGTACCAAATTATAATTTTAACCTAGGTACACATAAAATATGCGAATATCATTTTTTTATGTATTCTCAAACAAATCAGATTCAACCTCTAACTTTTCAGACCAGTGCTGAGAGCCTTTGAAAACGGTAAAAAGTGAAAAAAATATATAGTAGGATGGAACTCATTGGAAAAGGAAGAGAATATGACAAGGATAAAAGGAAAAATACATTACGGGCGATATGAGGTCGGGAAGTGGAAAGAAGGTGAGCTTTCAAAGTTAACAAAGGGCTTATCACGATTACCGGCAAAATACAAGCCCAATGGAATAAAGGTGAATGGCAAAGTTCTAATGATAAAAAGATCTCGAACTTTCACATAACTTCAAAATTTATGCGAATAATTCGAATGGCCAAGTTTTTATTCTTTACAAAAAGAATTTTTTTTCCTCGAAATTTAGTGAAAACTTACCTCTCTACGTCCCAAATACCCTGTACTTTTTATATTTGAAATATTCATTTTTTCACATTATTTTTACCTAATATATCGAAAAAGCACCCTAATTTTCAATCAAAAATTTTCGCATCAAAATATCAGCTTTTTCAAAAGGGTCGAAGCCCGTTTTGTTCGTTAAAATCTCTACTTTCTGATTCTGAAAATGCAAAGAAACAAAAAAACAGTAGTTACAGTTTTTAGATGTAATCCCCTTCAAATCTTATCTTAATTATTTTTGCAATTGTTGCAATCTTGATGTTCTATGGATTTGAATGTTTATTGTTTATCGATATAACATGGAATATCACGTTTTTTGAGTAATTATTAGTTGATTTTATTAAATAACTCAAAATTGTCCATAATGATTAAATAACAAATGTTGATTCGAGTTTCCTTTCTCTGCATTTTCTGAGAACATTATATTTTTGTCCAGACTTTTTGATTCGAAATTATGGTGCTATTTCGATATCAAGTCAAAATGAGGTAAAAAAATTAATATTTCAAATCAAAAAAATTACAGTGTAAATTTCGTGGATTTTTTTTTTTAGTATAAGATGGAAATAATAACAAAAAATTTCACATAAATTTTGAGGTTATGTGAAAAAAGTGTATTAACAAGAATTATAGATCTTTTTCTTACCTTCGAAGTTGCGATTCAACTTTTTCCATATTACTTGTAGTTTTGCCAGAAATCGAGATTAACCGTTTTCTTTACCCTCGACCTCAGATCGACGGTAATTTATTTTTTCTACAAGCGTGCGTGATTCACCCTATACCCGCACGCAATTTAGTTTGGAAAGTGTCATTTTCCCGCAACATTGCGAAAAACAAAGATATGATAATATGGCAAAATATAAGTAATAGGTGATGAAATATGAGAGTTTGAGTTTGTTTGTTGCAGTATTAAGTATGTATGTTCAGAATCATCCATCAAATCGTACTATTTATTGTGAAAATTAAGAAATATCGAAAAATTGAAGTTGATTATTATGAAAATCCCCCTATACGCTTGTATTGATCTGATGGGAAACGATTATTGTTGTCATGCCAATCAAACCTCAAATGACTTTGGAATTGTCGAAGTGACAGACACAGCGTTACTGTCATCTTCGATTCAGTGGAATTGCCACAATGTGATCAAAAACTTCCAGCTAAAGAAATGAAAATACAATCATCTAGTCCAAAATGCATTCTACTCTGTTGAGGAATTTTTACAATGTGTCTGTTCAAATGTTTTTATTCCTGTTCTTGACTAGTCTGATAAAATTTTATAAATGTATGTAATACAGATGTAGAATTTTCAATGATGAATAAATTTCTATTCTATTCTATTCTAACTGTGAATTAGGCAGAAGAAACTTTTTTTTTCAAAATATCTCCTAATTTACAGTTGCAACTGTAAATTAGGCAAATATTCGTGAAAAAAAAAAGTTTTTCAAGGATGGCAGTTCAGACGCGTCGTAGTTCCTATATGAATGAATAATTAATTGAACAAATCAATCAATTTCCTACGCTTGTAGAAAAAATATTGTTCCTAACTCATGCGGAAAGTGTCTTTCCCGCACTCGACTGATTGCCCGAACTCCGCTTCGCGTCGTTCGTGTCAACGGCAGTCGCGTGCGGTAAAGAATCACTTTCCGCACTTGTTAGAAAAATTACTATTTTCTTCAATAATTTTTGTTATTCACTATTCCCCTTTCAATGGGTTTCATTCTTCTATGATTTTTCCGGTTTCAAAATTTATCCACCCTGGTCCATTCCAAAAATGAAACATACTCATCTTTTGCCATACCACAATCTTCTGCCTCATAGTAGTATTTCTTGAGCAAATTCAACAAAGTGAATTTGTTGCAGTCTCTTATTTGCCCTGGTCCCACATTATCTTTAGGGTTCTTGATTTCGTTGCCTGTAGATATAACTCCAACAGCTCGTCGCCTGAAAAAAATGTCAGCTCAAAAACTTTGCAATGGAAGATCCATAACCTTAACTCACTTGTATACTTTAACTTCAGTTTTTCCCAAGACTGCTAAAACTCCAACATGAGCTGGGGAGATGCGGTCATATTTTTTCAAAACCAATTCATTGACTTTGACGTCGCTGCCTATATCTCTGAAAACAAAAGGAACAGACTCATAATCAAGTTTTTCTACCTATAATGGTTCATTGGACATCCCTATCACTACTATCATTATTATTATATTATCATAATATATTATAATGAATATGTTATTATATTATCATTATAATATTAAAAATGTGAATGTATGTTTGTTTGTTTGTGGGGCTTTCACGCCAAAGCTACTAAGCCGATTATCATAAAATTTTGCATACATATTCTCAGATATATAAAAAATGACATAAGATACTTTTTATTGAATAAAAACAATTACGAGTGAACAAAATATTTTGGCAGACATGATTGTTTGACACAAATTGTCTAACAATCAGACATGGAACTCTATGCGTCGGTACCTTAGATATCAATTATTAGAAAACGTCTTCTGGGACTCGTAAGCCTCGGATTATTTTGATGATGATATGAAAATGACAAATATGTAACCTAACATCAGGTGGGCACTTCGCACTAGACTTCGAAGGCGCAAATTCATTACTGCATGGGAGATACTCTTCGGATTATTTCCGTGACTTGACAAGAAGAATAACACCTGAATTGTTCCATCTAGAGACAGGGTGCAACCGTGCAAATTTGACAGATGACCGACCCTGGAGGTAAAATAACGCTAACAACCTCACTTTTCTTGATTTGTTTTCAAAGAATCGAAATAGATTTTCAGGTATGAATCGTGTTTCTTGGGATATTTATTTATTCATGCATACCATCCCATTGTGCTGTTGTACAATGCCAAAAAAATGCAGAGCGGGAGACGAATGATTAAGATTTATTTTCAGGTAGGTAAATAATTATTGCTCCTGTAGTCACTCACATAGTGTTCATTTTTTAATTCTCTTCAGAATTTCTTCTGCAAATGGAGCTAATCGAATGACTTGTGAAGTTTCTAGAATAAGGCAAGAATCGCGATTCCTGTACCAAAATAATTGTGAAAAACTATTTCAACCCTATGAGAAAAGTGAAGTTGTTGCTTGTTGAAGCTCAGCATATATTCAATTATATATATATATGTATCATCTTGATGATTTGTTCATGGAATTGAGATATATACATTTTTGAAATGATACTCATATTTTTATTTAATCAAAACGAGGAGGAACATGCCAAATAATCAAGTAAAATGAACATACATTTTCAATGAACAACCACACTAAATCACAGATTAATTGGAAGTATCCAATCAAATGGATGTTTCCTCTCCCTGGCATATTATTCCATTGCAGCTTGAAAGAATCCGTTCTTAATAGAGTAATTCTTGTATTGTAGTTTTCCAACATCGTCGAAGAGCATCGTCATCGATAAACTCTTCGACATTTCTTCATTTTGCGGAACCTTGGATATACCGGGTGGCTACTGAAGTATTGCCTACGGAATATCTCAGTTATTGTATGAAGTAGGTTTGTGAAATTTGGAGCGTCGATATAATGACATAAGAGCTAGAATTTCAACATATTGACATGTCGAAGTTAACTTCTGGTCTGACCGGAAGTAACATGAACTTTCTTATTTTGAATGGAAATCCTATTCTTTTTTCTTTTCGCTTTATTCAGCATTCAATTCCCTTTCTAATGACATATCACAAGTTGGTATCTAACCAGAAAGTAGATCAGAAAAAAATTATTATTGAAATTCACCGAGTAGGCCGTGGAAGCAAAATGAAAGCCAAAAAATGACTTTCTATTTTATCATTAGAAAGGAATGGTTATGCTGAATAGTACAGGCAAGAAAAAGTTGTATGTTCCTATTTAAGTTATGGACCTACAGAGTATTGTTTTTTTCCTAATTTTTCCGATATTTTTTTTGGCGGCTTTTTATAAAGCCGACGAATGAAAATAAAATATCACAGTTGTAGCAACTGTTATCAAGTGACGTATGGTTTCCATAGCCAACTTTTCGATTTTTGGCTTTTATTTTGCTTCCACGGCCTACTCGGTGAATTTCAATAATAATTTTTTTCTGATCTAGTTTCTGGTTAGATACCAACTTGTGATATGTCATTAGAAAGGGAATTGAATGCTGAATAAAGCGGAAAGAAAACAAAAAAGGGTTTCCATTCAAAATAAGAAAGTTGATGTTACTTCCGGTCAGACCGGAAGTTAACTTCGACATGTCAATATGCTCAAATTCTAGCTTTTATGTCATTATATCGACGCTCCAAATTTCACGAACCTACTTCATACAATAACTGAGATATTCCGTAGGCAATACTTCCGTAGCCACCCGGTATTTTGTCTGTGATCGAAGTAGTATATTGTTATGCCCAATTTGAACCAAACCTCTGAAGAATATTACTGGATTATTACTATTAGAATCTTTGATGTCCACACTCAACACTTAACAGTAAACATTGTCAAATTTGACATTTTACATTTTACAAACACGTGACATGAAACAACAAATTTAGTCACAGAACATTAAAATTATACACTGTTGCGAAGTGTGAGGGATCATTTTAGAAGGAATACTCAAGGGAGGTCTATAAAACAAGTTAAACCTCAAGTACTGAGGACTCCTCAACGAATCCTCAGATAAGGAAGACTTGAAGGGTTCTTGATGAAACGACTTTGAATACGGGCCAATTAGATTCCTCGAAAGCTTTACATCTGATCTGTCTAGAAGTAGAAGAAAGTTGCACGAAATCAACGCGAGTGAAGCCGCAGGTAAAAGCTAGTTACCTTATATCTTGGCCACAAATTGGAGCAACCTTTATCTCAATGCTCAACTCCTTGGTTCCATCTGTAGACGTTTCTACTATGGAGGTGTCTTCAACTTGCACCACAGCATCTGCACCTGGTGGCACTGGTGCTCCTGTGGAAATTCTGATGGCTTCCCCAGCTTTCAGTTCTTCTTCAGACGGCTGAATCATTGATTTAGACTATATAAATAACTGTACAATGGAGAAGATTTGAATGACTATTACCATATCTCCAGCAGCTGCTACTTCTCTAACTATTCTATTGCCAACACCATCTTCAGACTTCACAGCATAGCCATCCTTCATTGAGGCTCTGAAAGGAGGTACAGCCTCAGTGGCCAAAACGTCTTCGGCTAGGATTCTATTGGCGGATTTCTCGAAAGGGATGACTTCAATCTCTAGAGTTGGAGAGCATTCTCTCCGTATAATTTCCGTAGCTTTCGAAACTTCCACTAATGGGTAGGGAGAAATGCGATTCCTAGCAGCTACGTTATCAAGTTTTACCTGAATATAAATTCAAACAGAAGGTGTCTATGGGACATTTTAAGATATTTTCCAGGAAAATACACCTACCTTACTGGGAGAGATGGTACCAACTTTTTCAAGGGATATTCCTTGAATGGTTACATGCTCCTTAGTTACCAAATCTTGCCTGTCTGCCAAAACGTTCACAGCATGAGGAATAGCGTTTTTGATGAATCCAAAGCATTCAGCAGCTCCTTTTTCACTTCCTGGTAGGTTTGCGATGATTGTTTTTTTTCTGATTCCACAAACTGCTCGAGACAGCATTGCCATTTCTGTTATGGCAAGGCTTCTAGCTACCATCGCATAAGCTAAGCCAGGAGCTTCTTTTTCGATAACTTGGCGGGTGGCTTCAGGAGTGACATCTCTAGGGGAAAAACCTGTTCCACCTGGACATGAAAAAATTACATAACTAGTGTGGAAAGTGAGTTATTCCTCACGAGTGAAATTTGGCACGATGCCTCGTAGCGGCGAGGGCGGATATGTAACGAGTGCATGAAATGCACTTTCCAACGAGTTATGTACACTATTTTTCCTACGACTACAAATATTTAATTTGAAACACAAAACACAAATACCAATTTCAAACATTCAATAGTTTTTTATATAACTTGATATATGTCTTTTATCTATGTTAAAATTAATGTAACTCATGATTCGGTAAATACTGTAACAACCCAAGCCAGTTCGCTTGGTAGACTATTCAAATATAATCAAGAGTATTAATTCATCTTGGAAGTCATTTTCTTATTTCTGAGATTAGAGGATCATAGTTAGTGCTTCAGTTCATGACTCCATTGATGAGGTTTCAATTTCTATGAGTACTTTCATTTTTTATCAGAGGAATAAATAACAAATCATCACGAGATCATAAATTCTATCACTCCAACATTGGATTGTCTCCCATGTATGGTAAGACCTTGTTGAATACTCGGATCTGCAGTGTTGTGCTCTGTTACAACATCAGAAAGCTTGGTGAGTAATCTGAGCTTCGATTTGTATCAATTTATTCCAGCTACAAAGGCAGGAAGAGTCTGTTTCGTGGAAAAAGTTTACCAATTCACAAACGTTTGACGCTGTCAGACGTTCATAAATTCACTTAAAATCTGAAGTAGAACCACAGGGACGTATAGTATGTGAAAATAGCTACCTGATATTTGGACATCGTATGTTCACAGCTAGAAGCCTCACACTGCAGGGGAGCACCCTGAAATGGGGCCAAATCCAGGTTTGTTTCAACAAAAGAACATCAGTAACCATGGAAGTGGTCCTAACGACAATCACAACAAACGGTTTCCGTATAAATAGCAGCCCGGGCCACGATATTTTGAGAACATTTCCAACCTTCGAATTAGTAACATCTCCAGAAATGATAGGAGTTCTAGGAAACATGGAAGATTACCAGACCTCCACCTCCGTTATTGCCCGAAGGATCAGGTCCCAGTCTGAGTAATATCTCAGCACATAGTCTCTGAGAGATACCGTTGAATCCAAATAGAGTAAACTTATAACATGATATATTTTGGATAATATTATATACTTCGCTGTTGCTCAACCTTGACCAGTTTATCTACTTCACTCGAAGTGCTTATAGATGACAATGAGTGGTCGAATTGGTCGATGGTATAGTTTATGCAGTCAGTTGAACAGATCATCAAACGAATGTCGGGCCGCGCTGCCGCATTCTTTGAACTTTCAAAGGGACCGACGGCTTGCGGTGTTTCTCCAACTAACTTTGCATAAACTATACTGTGGGAGCGTTTCCCCTACTTATTTCCATTCAAATTAACAGTAGACATACTGACTTTGAACGTCTCTGTGGATGTGTACACCACGGAGGTGGCTTGCAACCACTCTTATTTTGATCTCGGCGGGTGACGATCCTTTTGCTAAAAGATTTAGGCAAGCCGAGAGGACTGCAAGCATAGTCCATCTCAGCAATTGATCAGATAATACCAACATAAACTTTTGCTACTTCGCTACTTTGCGCAGTGAAGAGGGTTTGATTGCTTTTTGCTAACTCACTCAACTTTACATCGTGCATTTGCATTGTGAAAAGATGCGTGGTCAATAAATATTCTTGATTTATTCTGGATTTTCATTTCTTTTCTACCTTCACAGAACTCTGCATCCACGAACGTATAATACAAAACTACACAACGTGGGGACATGTTTGAGAGGTGTCGAATTGAATTTCGACTCTTCTCGAACATGATAAATACTAGACGATCACATGAAATATGGTTATAGTTCCATATTTAGACAACACCCGGGTGGGTATCGTTACAATACATTACTTGATTTCGTAGAATAAAAATTGAAAGTGATAAAGTTTGAAAATCATATTTTTTATTGAATTCGAAGTTTCCCTCTTTGTCGAGAGCTTGGTCGAGAGCTTCCACGCACCTCGTGACCACGCAAATAAAAATACCGCAGGGTACCGAGTCACGACGTGTCAGGACGGTGTATAGACCTGAGCCACACCGGAGGAGACAGCAATGACAGCAATGAGGTTATGTCTCTCAGATTATGACAAAATGACAATTACCGAAGCCTTGAAACCTAAACAATTATTAGTTCTCATGGGGCAAAATTGAAACTCTAACTAAAATGAATGTATGTAATGACAATTACCGAAACCTTGAAACCTAAACAATTATTAGTTCTCATGGGGAAAAATTGAAACTCTAACTAAAATGAATGTATATACATTGATAGTATGTATTAAAATATGATAATTCAGTATTATAATCATCCATACATTATATAGACCAAACAAAGATCACGTTAGCGTCCGGTAATATTGCCATCCTGTTCGTTTTCACTTTCGCATTGCTATGGTGAAATGAGAACTTTCTGAGCAACAATACATTGTGCTATATAATGCTCTCATAGGGAGTCGTAGGAAAAATCTCGTTCTGAGTGTACCCAAGTGTACCCACGTGACCAGAAATTGAAATCTTCAACTGACAACTCTAACCAGCGATGAATGAGGAAGACCTCTAGTATTCAAGAATGACATATTCGTGAGCTCTATACCAAAAAACTTACCATGCATAAAAGATAATTTTGATTTTTTTCATTCGTGGTAAGACGATAAATAGTTATTTATTATACAAGGGAAAAAAGTAGTAGATTTTAGCTCCAGGTTGTGTTGTCTCCCGACGCGTAGCGGAGGGAGACAAAAAACCGTGAGCTAAAATCTAATATTTTTCCCGTGTATAATACACTATTTTTTTCTGTGACAGAACGAAGGACGAATCAATATTGAGAAGATATTACATTATTTCGAAATCTGAAAATTATCGACGTGAAATTTCAAGTTTTTAACAGTAGGGACACCTGCGTTTCATAGGCATCTTTATTATTCTTTTGAAGTAATCAAATATCTGATGTCACTTCTGTCAGTTCAATTCTGTGATTTGATTTTAAAAAATTGCGACTTCAGTAGTTGTTTAGTAAAATACGAAACCGCGAAGTCGAATGGAAGATAAAAGGAGTTGCAGTTCTTTCTCGGAGACGGTATTATTTACTCATTTTTCGGAACTATAGCACAACAAAAGCCATTAACAGAGTATATATATGTGATATATATCCGGGAAAAAAGTACTCACTTTTTTCCCACGGGAAAAAAGTAATTTATGAAAAGTAACATTTTATAACCTGCCAACAGAGATGAAATGCCAAACTTTTTTCCCGTCACAGAAAAAAAAGATAAATTCAAATAACTTCATTCCAAAACACACACAGTTCCTGCGCCATTTGAGATGGTGTCAATTCATTGGTGTGACTGGTGTGACGTATTAGTCCCAACACGCCCATTGTCCTTGAGCTGACCAATCACACTGCAACACTGCAGAATGGCAAGTTATCAGAGAGAAATAGCTACAGCTTGGGACTAATACATCACGGCTTCACCTTCATATCAGGCTTTTTGAAATATATCGAATGGAATATGCTGATTTCAAAACGCTATAGATTGGATTCCCTTTAACTTCAACTTATAATATTGATTGTATTTCCATTAAAAAGTATATCATGATTTTTCGATTGAAAGAACTTTGGACGGATTTCATCCCTCAGTCCTCATTGCAATAAGTGTGTTAGAAATTTGAATTCATCAATTTTGACAATAAGGTGAGGTGATGAGGAATATAATACATTTACATGGTGTCCCACTTTCAGCAATACTAATCTTGTATTTTCCTGTTTGTTTACCGATTTCAAAATATTTTTTCGATGTAGCACCTACTCAATACGATCAGTAACATTTTTGAGTTCTTTATTTTCACGATGACATCATAAGCAAGGCGTTTTTTATTCGGAATAATTATACATTTCTCGTGCAAAATATGGCATGATTATATCATGATGTTTCTAGGACACATTTGCAGTAGTACACAGGATGTTGTTTGTACAAAAGATTATAATCATGTTTCAAGTTCATTATTAGGAAATTGATGCATAGGTACTCCAATTGAATTTTGAGGGGTTGGCCGTGTAATATTGGCGTAGCAAAATGGTGCAAGTACTAACCTGTCGTTAATATAACGTCACACATGTGGTAATCACACCATTTAAGCAGACACTCTTTTATCGATGGCAGTTCATCAGGTGCGATATGAAATATCACTTGTGAGTTTGGGAATTCTCTTTTGATTTCCTCATTCAGTTTAGGTCCTGAAGTATCAGCTTTGGTGCCATTGAAGCAAGTGTCGCTAACTAGAAAAAACATGTTTCCCTGTTGATTATTCATATAACGATTTAATGTACATATTTCATCTCTATCACTCTACATCAATATTTCCGAGAATTGAATATTTAACTGTGCCTTATTTTACTCGAAAATTTCTCTAAAAGTTGTTTCAAATTGGATAAAATATCGATGTAAAATAACCTATATAGGGTGATTCAAAATTCGATGTATATATTTTAAGGATTATTCTTGAGATAAACATGTGTCCTAAAATGCGCCCCTTCAAACTACAGCCACTGTCAGTTGGAAAAAAAAATATCTGAAATTATGATCATAATAACGGATCAAGTGGCTTCCGTCATCAGAGATCAACTGGTGGCCTGCTGGCTTACGTCTCACATATATGGCAGCAATCTATTGAAAAATATGGTGAAACCTTAGCCGTGGCACTTGATATCTCCAAGGCATTCGATCGAGTCTAGCACCACGGACTCCTCGCCAAGCTTCCATCTTATAGCTTGCCTCCCCAGCTATGTTCTCTGCTAGCTAGTTTTCTCTCAAACAGGTCTCTCCATGCGTAGTGGTCGACGGAGTTTCATCTGACTCTCTCATCATAAATGCTGGTGTTCCGCAAGAATCAATTCTAGCAAAAACAATATTTTTCCATATCAACGATTTGTTGGGAGCAACTTCATGTCTAGTACACAGCTTCGCGGATGATAGTACCCTCCATACCGCCGTCTCTTCCAGGGCTCCAATACCAGCCAGGCAAATCAGAAACGAACGAGGGAGAAATGTTGACAACATTAATATGGACTTGGCAACAATTCTCGAATGGGGATCCAATAACTTGGTAGATTTCATTGCAAACAAAACACAAGCATGCCTTTTCTCTAGAAAGGCTGATCTCACTGTGCCCAACATAAGCTTGTCAGGAGTAACCATACCTTTGAAGTCATCCATTTCGATGCTTGGTATTACTATCAGCAATAACCTTTCTAGGGAAAATAACGTAAGATCAGTGCATCTCAAAAACTTGGTTTTCTGTTTCGGGCAAGGAGCTATTTCACTTATTCCAGTCAGCTGCTTATGATCTATAAGGCACAGGTCCGAACGTCCTGGAATACTGTTACCATATATTAGGAGTGGAGCACCCAAACATAGCCTGAAACTGTTGGATTCTGTCCAAAAAGGGGCAATTCGTCTCGTCGGTGATGCCTCGCTCACAAACTCACTCACTTCTCTGGAACACCGTAGAAAAGTTGGCGATCTGGCTCTATTTTATAAATATTTTCATGAACGATGCTCTTCTGAAATATCAACAATTTTTCCTCCCTTGGCAGTCTCCGCGAGATTAACCCGTCGAGTTGAGGCTTCGCACCCCTTCGAGGTCACTTTGGAGACCTGCAGAACATCTCTTTCCAAAGACTCGTTCATCCAACGAACAGCGAGGCTCTGGAACACATTGCCAAGGGAGGTGTTCCCCGGGGCATATAACCTCCAGAAATTTAGGAAGAACACCAATTCCTACCTCATTTCCCTTGGTTCTCATGATGTTCTGTGAACATTACAGGATATCCCTTTTCGCCTCTGAAATAGCAGTCTAATATGCGTTGCGACATACGAATCATACGATCACCTCCGTATGCAAGGGTTTAACCCATTGCCTTCGAAAACAATGTCGTGACTTCCCCTTTCGTTGATTACGATTTTCTGGAAAACTGTTAGTTGAATGAAAATAATCCAAGAGACTGAATTCTTAATTGTTCATGGCCCACAAGATCCTGCTATTCAAAGTTAGGGTGTTTCATATTTGAACACAAAATTTGGGCAAATACAAGTGTGGACCCTCCTCCAATGCCCCCCAAACTTTCGAAGCAAGAAGGACATGAAGTGTCTAAAAAGACAGGGGCATGCCGATTTTCAGAAGAATTGGTTTGCTATTTTTGTCTCAATTTCAGATAATCTTTCTCTTTTACCTTACTTACAGTGGATGTAGTTCGGAGGAGGTGCATTTTTGGAACACATGTTTATATGAAGAAAAAGTATTATTTTGATCCCAACAATGTGTCCTTAGAATATTCACACCCTGCATTGATGATGAACGAGATGATGAACACTGTTCCTCATTTCTTAGCGAATTTTGAAACTCGAAACTCAAAATGATTACCAAATCTTCGCAATATCACAATAATTATAAACATCTCAATCACAATAATTATAGTAATGGGTTGTGATACACTTCATTGGCTCTATGATGTTGTATATCCAATGGATATATCACATGCATGTATTCTTATACTCACCTGTTAATATTCCAAACTTTATAGGAGCAGCCATACCTGAGGATAAAAATAATAATAATAGACAGCGAAATTGGTCAGGGTTTACTTAGCTGTGTGCACGTGTAGATATACAAATAATTTTACAGTTTACATGGGCAACCCCCTTAACTGGTAACTTCCTTTTTTAGATAATGTCAACTATACAGGATGATCCATATGCCTGTGACATACCAAACATACGATCAACAACCGTCTTGTATTTTCACTATTGATAATAACTCGGATAATAATGTGTGTCGGTAGATGGAATTTTTTGGTAATTTTCGAATCGTGAGTAATATATGAACAGAGTTATCCATCCACCCATAATAATTTTATGGCCGTGTCTAGAACTACAACCACGCTACCCGAGGCTACCCAACAATTGTGTGCTTTTTCTACTCACTTCTTTTTAGTTTGGCTTTGGTTATCTATAAAAACGTGTTTCATTAGTTTTTTAAACTACTATTTATTACAATAGCTGATACCCGGCGAACGTTGTTTTGCTATACAGGGTGTTCATTTCAGGACTTCCCACCCTAATTTTCTCGAAATGTGTGTATGTTTTCGAAAAATCCCGAGACACGTCAACTACATTTTCGAGGGGGACACGGTTCTAAAATATTTTCAGCCCCGCGGCGTTGCCGCTTCTGACGAAAAGAAGCAACAACTTTGTTATTTCAAATGGAACACCCTGTATTTCATTGCATTTTTAGATTCTCCCTGAAAAGCTGATTTCATCAATGTATCACACTTTGGGTCTAGCAGGAATGATTACAGAGATATAGGGTGTTCAAAATCGAGATTTTACAACTTTAGGACTTTTTTGAGTCGAAACTATTCATTATTGGTCAAAAGGGCTCTTATGTCCTTATCTCAACTTTTGATTTACTATCTACTGACATTTATTTGAAACAAATACAGGGTGGTTCAAGATTCAGACTTTTGATCACCCTGTATTTGTTTCAAATAAATGTCAGTAGATAGTAAATCGAAAGTTGAGATAGGGACATTAAAGCCGTTTTGACCAATAATGAATAGTTTCGACTCAAAAAAATCCTAAAGTTGTAAAATCTCGATTTTGAACACCCTATATCTCTGTAATCATTCCTGCTAGACCCAAAGTGTGATACATTGATGAAATCAGCTTTTCAGGAAAAATCTAAAAATGCAATGAAATACAGGGTGTTCCATTTGAAATAACAAAGTTGTTGCTTCTTTTCGTTAGAAAGCGGCAACGCCGCGGGGCTGAAAATATTTTAGAACCATGTCCCCCTCGAAAATGTAGTTGACGTGTCTCGGGATTTTTCGAAAACATACACACATTTCGAGAAAATTAGGGTGGGAAGTCCTGAAATGAACACCCTGTATACATTTATTTCTAGAAAATATCATATATTAGTTGAATATTTATCAACACACTTTTATTATTTTGTTTTCTACTTCTTTTCAGTTTGGGTATCTATAAAATCGTGTTTCATTATCATTCATACTTCTTTTTGGTTCGACAGTCTATATCGTTTTTTAAACTATACTATCAATTCTCTACTTCTATTCAGTTTGGCCTCGAGTTAGTCGAGTTTGGTTATCCATAAAATCGGGTTTCATTATAGTTTTTCAAACTACCATTTATTACAAAGCTCTTTCGCCATATTGGAACCGTCATCTTGAATTTCCCAATTTTAAAGTATAAAGAATCGGATCATAATAATTACAAAACACGTCCGCCATATTGGATCCTTCATCTTCAATTTTCTAATTTTGATGAAATATTCATAATCTCCGACCCCAAAATCCCCCAGATACCAATTTTGAATAAAATCTGATCATTCTTTAAGAAACTCGTTTTGAATTTCCTAATTTTGATGAAGGAATCATAATCTTCGACCTCGAAAACCCTATCATTTTCGAATTTCGATAGAATCTGACCATAATTACAAAAGTCGTTCGCCATATTTTATCCGCCTTCTTGAATATCAAAATGTTGATGTAATAATCATAATGTCCGACCCCAAAAGCCTTCATATACAAATTTTCAATGAAATCTGATCCTAATTAAAAAACACGTCCGCCATATTGGATCCGCCATCTTGAATTTCCAAATTTTGACGAAAGAGTCATAATCTCCAACTCCGAAAACCCTCAGATACCAAATTTGAATAGAATCGGTCTATAATAACAAACTCGTCCGCCATATTGGATCCGCCATTTTGAATTTCCTATTTTTGACGAATAAATCATAATCTCCCATCCCGAAAATCCCCAGATACCAATTTGATTGAAATCGGATTACAAAACTCGTCCGCATAGTGGATCCGCCATCTTGAATTTTCGATTCAAAAAATAGATTATTTTGAAAATCATTCCGAGTCGAAGACGAGTTTTTTTTTAAATATTAACACGATGCGGAAATAAAAATGATGACATACAAAATACCTCATTGTTGTATCAAACACAGTAAAACAAAAGCAATGTTGTGTTATAGCCGTAGAGAAAAATGTTGTTGTGTTTCTGACGGAATTCTGGGGTCACAAAGAGGTGATGAAATAATGAAGAATAGAAAATAACATAGGTATTGAATACCTAGGTATACTTTTGTATCACAAATAATCACAGATTTCAAAAAAAATCCTACCTGAAAAAATTAATTTGTGGTTTGTCACGCTTTTAGGGGGCTGTAAAACTTTTGATGCGAGCCGCGGGATGGCCTCTTCGATGGATTACTCTGTTGTACTTACATAATCAACAATTCGTTGTGGGGCGGAATATTGAGGAAATCTGGCAATAGTGGCAATACTGGTTAAAAATAACATGTGCAAGGGTACTGGAATGAAATGTGATAATATTTGATAAAACGTAGGTATAACGAGTATAACGACGTATAACACAAAACTGGTAGATAACTGATATCTTGGATAGGATAGGTAGATGTCAAATTTCATAATTATAATCCCTATAATAGCCTTGAATGAAAGTTTCTAACATAGATGTATAGGTAGAAAGAGAAATATAAACATCTCATTTCTAACATATCTACCTACCTATTTTTATCTTATCAATAAACGGGTACTTATAGGTACTTAGCAGATACTCAGCATCATCATAATTATTACTTATAAATTTAAAATTATGTGAATGCACAGTGTCAAATATAGGTAGGTGCGAGGGTATGTATCTACATCCTGGTATTTCAATGACCATGTAGGTACTAGTACAGACACCTACCGCATACCTGTAATGCCTAAATTGTTTTATCACAATCCCACGTCCAATTGAAATTAATTCCTATCAATACCGATGATGTCCGATGAATAAATATCATTACTGATAATAATAAGATAACCTATACCATACCTCTGTTCATCAATGATAGCAATTGGCTATCAGAGTCACTCAGAGTCGTTTAACCTCAACCTGAAATAGTCAGTCACTTGGAATAATTAAATTCAACTGACCTGTGTCCAGAATCTAATAATTGTCACTGTTCAATTGGCTAATAAGTACGAGATACCAATTATTACAATAATTATTGAATGGAAAATATTTGGTAGGAATCACTACTGCAAGCAGTAAAAGCAGTGCACATCTATCAGCTCAAGCTGCACTCTGCACTACGTCAACAATATAAACAAAACAATAAACAATAAAACAATTCAAACCTTCAAACAACTTCAAACATCAAACCAGGAAAAAGCATCAGATCAGAACATCACATTCCAACACTGCGTGCGTACATTCCACACATTCGTGAAATTACTGATGAGTGATGAATTTATGATGGAGATGGGTCAGATGGGCGACTGGGCCGCACGAATTCAATCTAACCTGAAATGAAGCATCTAGAGAGTTAGAGACAGGACGCAAGGAAATAGGAAATAGGGGGCTACAAATAATCCGAGCGGAAACAAGTTTACAGAAATTTTCCGACCCCAACAGTACATGAATTCATAGTATTTTTTTCGATTAATGTCTTGAATCGCTTCGAAAACAATTTCATGCTCTTTGCCTCTTTGGCATATTCATATTTCCCGTATAGTGGTGCTATCGCTAGGCTCTGATCACGAGTTGCACGATGCTTCATTTCAGTTCAGGTCAGATTGAATTCGTGTGACTGGGCGAGTTGCGCTGCAGAGCTGTTGCGGTGTTGCCAGGTTGACAGTGAATGTCGGATATGAACAAAATTTGAAAGACGGCTTGTTTTATTTTAGAAGATTATTCTTTATAGAGTGGCATGTAGCCATAGAAAACGTATAGCAAAAAACTCGAATTTTATTGAGATTGAGAAAGTGAGAATTTTGCCAGATTGTGTGTGATATTTGTTAGCACAAATGAACGAATAACCTTTTGTTAATACATAATAATTACATATATTGTAGTTATTTTATTCAAATGAACCTAGGAACACTTATCTGTCAAACGATTGTCGATCTAAATGAAAACCTAGTAGGCGACCTAGTGCGAGGAGGTACCTACTATAATAGCTCTCGCCTAGTAACTACCCATGTAACTACCTAACAAGGTTGTCATCTAGAACTACAATGGTCTAACAATTTACATGACAAGTCCAGAAAATACTGTTTTTTGGACGAGTAAACAAAATTCTGGGTCGATCCGTAGGCGAGTCCTGGAAGTCTGCGAGTCCAAAAAAACTGTTTTTGGACATATTTCCATATTATATTCCTTTGTAGAATGAAATTTCTACTTTATCAATCCTCATTTGTATCAAATACTGAAATTTGAACTACCTAATAAATTATAAGTTGGTTAGTTTACATACGAGGCAGGTAATTCACGTTTTTGTTTTTCTCTATAAAAAAAAACGTTGAATTTCATATTAAATTCGGGTGTATCAAAGTCAAAGGTTTTTTTCATGAGGAGGAATATTCTGTAAAGTTATTGTATATAAAATAAAGCTCGTTTAGCTCGTTAATTTTCTTTAACTACTTGTGATCTGTAACTAAAAAGGGGAGTCGAAAAATTCTGAAAAATATCTTTTCTAAATAAAAAAGGAGACTACTTTTTTCAAACAAACTATAACCTAACTCGCCTAAATGAACCTTTCTCCTGATAAGTATAATTTTCAAAATTATTTGGGAGAAAAAGTTTAAAAAAGTTGGGCCTCGCAGGGGTTGAGCCCGAGTCATCGGTACACTGTCAACTGAGCTATCGCTTTGCTCGGGAGTGCTCTCTATCTCCAGCTGGGTACGCCCATGAGCTCAAATGATAATAATGATATGGATCTCATGATCTTATCAATGTCATAGGATGATAAGTTCTTTCACGGTGTCACGATATAGGGGATGGTATAATTACACCAGATTACACCATAGGTATCGGTTTATATGGTTTTATATACTTGGCTTGATGCTTTGGGAGAGATTATATTTAAATAGGCACTAATAGTTTAGGGTTAGTTGAAAGTACAGGGCTATATTCAAACAAATCAATTACTATATCATGTCATGAAACACGAGATGAAACATTATTATGGATAGTGGTGAGATCTGTTGTATGATCGAAGGTATAAATGAATAACAACCTAACAATGAATGACAATGAATAACAATAAATAAATATGTTTGCCCTGTTATTAACTATACTATTCGTTTGTCTACTTCTTTCATTTTCATGTAAGTACCAAGTAATTTTTGCATCTATATCCTAAGTCAATACCGATTTTTCTAGAACTATGATACTTTCTATTCGCTGATTATGGGCTTATATAAGCCCGAAACATGTGAACATGTACCATTACGATTGATCTTTGATCATTCCAATGGATGTTGTGGAGATGACTTCGGGTTTTCATCTATGTACTCCACCACTCGACTTTGAGTTACGCATGGACTTCTTCCAAAGATCAAGAATTTCCAACTTCAAAGAAAGGAAAGTTCAATTTTGTAGTCGGAATTCACAAGTTTTATCATGAAGAAAAAAACAGTTCAAACTCTATAGGAACTTCCAACCGCAAACTCGAACTTTCCGACTGATGAGTAGATAATTTAAAGCTCGAAGTTGAAAAAATCAAATTCCGAATTTTGAGTTGGAAATATCAGGATTCAATTCGGAAAATAAAATTCCCAGTTACAGAGGTTTTCAAATCTGGAAATGAATAACTCTGTACAAATCCAGGATTTCCAACTACGTATACTCGTGTAGCTCATAGAAACTGACATTTCTTGTATCGAATCAGTATTCCCAGTGGAAAGATAACTCAAGACGTCGTCCTTTGTTTCATTAATTTCTTGTCCAAAAGGAAAATTGGAAAATAAAAAAATGATTTGGCAAAATTCACTTACTGCCCCCCCCCACCCCCCAAAAAAGTCTCTGTTGGTTCTTCCCTGGTTCGAAAGTACTGATATACCGAACAGGTGGCGTCGTCGCAGCCCAATCATTTTTGGGGGGGATGGGGGCTCAAATCTTGAAACAGGAAAGGGCAATTTTATTTTCTTTTTAATTTGGTAGGTACTCATTTATTTTATGTTACCCATTTTACCTCAGTTCTCTGGATCAAATTTGAAAGCATCAGTGAATGTTTGGGTATTCAACCCCATTTGTGGGAACAGTATTCTATGTGCTTAGTGGATAGCTTTCCGCACAGAAGAAAAATTTGAGTTTTTGTGAAGCAGCTTACGCCATGGATCTAACATTATTTGACCGATCTCTGACCGAACTAGTAAAATAAGAAACAAATGAAGTATATGATAGTGAAACATTTATTTATGATAGAGGAGAAGTTAATTGAAACCTCAGTTCCAAACTCTATAAAAGGAAATCCGCTATCGGTCTTGGAGAATCGGTTGATTATTTCCAAGGCGTTAGGGTAGATCTCGGGATGTATATTTAAAAGTGTTGACCTCGTTATCCTCTCTTCTGACATTCTTCCTCTTAGCAGTATCAGTCAAGTTTTTAGGTGCCTCAAAGTAGAAAATGACAAATTCTGACAAATTTTTTAAGACCCCTATGACCGTCTATGACCCCCATACCCTCGGACACCGCCTGATACCGAATGTTACTCGGACGGTATAATATATTTTTGGCAGTGCACAACATAATCAGTTTGTTGCTCTTCTGTCATTGCTAGATATGCTCTATAAATTCTGAAGCTTGAAGGTAAAGCAGTTATATAATTTTTCTGCAACCGACTCGAAAGTCGTCCATTCTTGTTCCAAAATCAGCTCTTGAAGTAGACGTTTCTCTTACTGACACAATGAAATGATGAGTATGTATGTTGCTAGGCAGTTCAGTATCTGTTCAGTATCTAGGAGGTAAAGTTGAATGACAGCTGATGTGATAGCTGCTCTAGTGCTCTCACACTATGACAAGCTCAAGTGATTCAACTTTTTTTCATGTTCTGGTTCCAACGAAAAGGAATTCATTTTAATGTTAAGAGAACATCGTGAAAACCAAGGGGAATAAGGTAGGAATTGGTGTTCTTCTTAAATTTCTGGATGTTATATGTCTCGAGAGCCTCGCTGTATACGTTGGATGAACGAGTCTTCGAAAAGAAATGTTCTGCAGGTCTCTAAAGTGACCACGAGGGGTGCGAAGCCTCAACTCGACGGATTAACCTCGCGGGGACTGCCAAGGAAGGAACAATTATTGTTGATATTTCAGAGGAGCATCGTCCATGAAAATATTTATAATACAGAGCCAGATCGCTAACTTTTCTTCGGTGTTCCAGAGAAGTGAGTGAGTTTGTGAGCGAGGCATCACCCACGAGACGAAATGCCGTTTTTGGTAGTGGTAACTTCACTTATATTCAATTAATTACATATCTATTATTTCGATTGCAGGAAAAATAGCATATATGTTTCATTCGAATCAAAAGTGACACTGCTGTTTGACTCGCAAAATTTGCGTGTTCGACTTCGCGATCGCTCCGCCTCGCAAACGCAAATATCACTTGTCAAACAAAGTGTCACATTTGATCCTAATAAAACAATGTACTATTTCTCCCTCCTAGAAACAATCTTCCTCTTCCTATACATAATGTTTCATAATATATGCGCAGGACTCCAGGATGTGATAGCTAGTCCAAACATATGAAAAAAAGTGTTACCTTCTGAAATGCACCATTTTCGATATACAAGGTGTTGAAATTTGAAAAAAACAACAGATTTCGTAAGCATTCTCTACTCATAATAAAGGATTTTGAAGAAGAAGCGGGTGTTTTTCTGCCCAACTTCTACGAATCTGGGAAAAGTACAATTTTGAACCGCCAATGTTTTTTACACAAAAAAGGCACCGCTGGTCATAGACTCTGAAGTTTACCGTTTTAGAGAAGAAACATTTCTTTTGTTGAAAATCATGGTCAATTTTTTGAAATTGATTACAGTTTTTTAATAAAACTATAGTATATTACGTAATATGTGCTGTGAGAAGCATATTACGCACGAATGGAAAGGTGAGTGCGTAATTGCTTTACAAGTTTACAACACGCATTACGTACTATACTTTACCTACTGTCATATAGTACATCAAAAAAGTTTGTACGAACAGTCTGAATTATATTTCTTGACAGTTATGTCATACGCTGTTTACGGCGATTACGCGATCATGACTGGCGGAATAAACGAAAACTGTGCGATGTGCTTACTGTGCGCATAGATCTCTGTGCGTAAAGAGCTACTTACTGAGGCTGTATCTCGTGATTCTCGTGTGTTCTTGCCTACTTTCTGTAGTGGCATATTTAAACGTTAAAAACGAGTAACAAAACGAAACGGTAATTCCATAATTGCAAAATTTAATTGAAACAATAAAAAATTATACTCACTAAAATCAACAAGCGTTGGAAATGTCCACCGTTAGCTTCAATGCACGCAGCAAAAAAAAATGTATTTAAAAGAATTGACCATGTTTATCAACATAAAAAGCTGATTTTTCTCGAAAACGGTAAACTTTAGAGCTTATAAACAAACCTTAACTACCGCGAATAAAACCCAAATTCATTTCGAGACAGGTTTTGAACAAAATACCAATATTCAACGGATTTGCTCAAGATTTTTTTTTATTTAGATTCAAAGTGGCATCCAGTGACTCTGGGTGTTTGGAGAAAAAACACCCACTACCCCTTCAAAATGTTCACCAATTAGAAAAGTAGAAAATCTGTAGCTTGTGCGATAAACGGTTCCAGAGATATTCGCATAAAAACGATAATTTTTTTTTTATTTCAACACCCTGTATGTATCTCGAAAATGGTCCAATTTAGGTCAAGTTGATATGAACTTTTTTTATATTTTTGGACGAGCTATCAGATCCTGAAGTCCTGCGCATATATTATAAAACAGGAAACACCCTGTATAATACGTTTCCTATCTACAGACTTTCTTTGCCCCCCCCTATCCTCTCTGATATATATCACCTGGATCCGCCCCTGTTCTCCCGGCCTCATGATAGTGGAAGTGGAGCTTCAAAAATCCGTAGAGCAACATCTTCCTCTGACTATCCGGCAACGCGGCGTCGCTCCACGTTGTCTTGTTTTGGTTTTCGGTTATTCTGTTTTCGTCGGTTTTCGGTTTGACGGTTTACATAAAATCAGTTTCCCGCCTAAGTTCGCGAGTAGAGCATGCTGGATTGCTAGAGCAGAGCAGCGACGAATCTTTTACGATGTCCCCTATCGTGCTCCTGCTTCTGTTATCCTTCTGTGTCCTTTTCGTCGAGGGCAAAACTTGCTATTCCATGGACATCAGGAACACCGTGGACAGCCTGAATCAGCTGAAAAATTGCACGGAGATCGCGGGGTTCCTGAAGATAGTGCTCATGGAAACAGTGAAGAATGAAAGTGATTTTGATGGTTACGTTTTCCCGGAGTTGGTTGAAATTACTGGATATTTGTTGTTTTACAATGTGTTGCATTTGTCTTCGGTGGGTCAACTGTTTCCGAATTTGAGGGTTATAAGGGGAACGGAATTATTGACGGATTATGCCATGGTCATCTACGATATGCCGCATATTAGAGAGGTGAGTAAAGTTGGTGTTTCTCTGGGCGATTTTGGGTTTTTAAACGTGAATACTTTCATTGGTCCATAGGCGTCCCCACTGCAGGGCAAGGGGGAGCCATGCCCCCTATTGAAAGTACTATCACTATAAAATAAATACGAACATTAAAAAAAATCCTCTCTTGGTGCTATTATCAATTGAAGCCTTGGTTGAAGCCGAAAATGATAAAATTGTTTTTTTCAAGAAACTTAAACACACTGTATCTCGGAAACGAATTGTATTCGGACCCGAGTTCGGACCTCGATTCGGACATATTTTTGTTGATAGTTCATATGAACTTTTTTTTCTTATTTTGTCTCAATGAAAATGTCTTCGGATTTTCGTGCAATACTAATGAAGAATCTCTTGAAACACCCTGTACCTATATCTCGCTGTGACAATTGCTCAATCAATCATTTTTTACGATTTTTTATTAAAGCATGGAATATCTAGTGCTTGATACAGCTTCTCAGTAGTTTCCGAGGTAGTTTTCATCAGTTCCCCCACTATCGTTTCCTCGAAACAAATATGAAATATAGAAATATGAACTGCCCCCTCCCCCTAGTTCAGACTGTAGATACGCCGCTGAGTTGTCGAGTATTTTAGTTATTTGGTATAATAGGGGTTAGAGCTCGGGTTTGATCATTTACAGAAAAAGTAGTTGTTTCGTCTTTCCTTCATCAAGCCTCAAATATAGGGTTGACCCACAAAATGAAATTCCAGATCTAGAATTTTCAATTACACATTTTATACCAATTTTTAGATTTAATCGTCTGTGCCGGCCTGTTCATATGAAAAAGTACCTAAATCTATAACTGATGGGTATTTTTCTTTTTTATGATATGCATGAAACTTTTTAGATGGCTATACTCTCTTCACGGCACTTGACCTTTAACACAGAGGAGAATTCGCCCTCGAAATACAATCTCAGCCTTCGTTTCAGCCGAGCAGCCCCCTGAAAATTTTTAACTGACGACGTCTATGTGTTGGCCGTTTGGAATCGGCATGAATTGGTTATAGAACTGTTTATAGAAGGTAGTAGGTCGGAAGCGAATTCGGATTGGGATTATGGAATTGAATTATTGAATTTCTCCATTTCTCGGAATAACTTTGCCATATATACCGGGTGTCCATATCACATGTTAAAAAAATTACACTTTCGTCAAACCCAAATGACTTCGAAGCCATTGTCCACTTCTGTCAAACTACCTCTAAAAAACCACCCGAACGTAATTTTTCCAAAAGTTTCACCCTATACATTTTTTTGTTGATTAGTGAGCCCACCATATCTATGCTCGGTATTTCCATCAGCAACACTCTTTCATGGGATAATCATGTCAGATCCATCGCAAAAGCTGCTTCACAAAAACTCGGATTCTTGTTCCGTGCGAAAAGCTACTTTACACCTCAACAGCTTCTCATGATCTACAAAGCGCAGATACGGCCTGTTCTAGAATACTGTTCCCACATATGGGGTTCAGCACCAAAACATACGCTGATGCTCTTAGATTCCATCCAGAGAAGAGCCATTCGCCTGGTGGGTGACGCCACACTCACTCACTCTTTGACATCATTGGAACACCGTAGAAAGGTCGGCGACCTTTCACTTTTCTATCGATACTTCCACGGGAAATGTTCTTCGGAAATCTCTGCTATCATCCCTTCACTAGCAATACCAATCAGACGAACTAGACAAGCCCAGTCAGCACATCCTTTCGTTGTCAACCTCGAAAGATGTCGAACAGCACTTTATCAAGACTCCTTCATCCATAGAACGGCTAGGCTCTGGAATTCATTGCCTGTGGAAGTATTCCCAACAACATATAATCTCCAAAAGTTCAAAAAAAATTCCAATACCGACCTCCTGTCCCTATCCTCCCTAGGAACGCACGATGTTGAACATTATAGGGATTCCCTTTCGTGCGCTCCAAGCGATAAAAAAAAAGTGAAGTGCAATCAATTCTAACTTCAACGATGCATGACACTTGACATAGGTACGTAATACTTCCAAAATTGCAAAATTCGAAAAAAACAGTATCATTTTTTTTTCATTTCTTTCTTCAGGATTGTTGACAGTTGTTCGTGCACACATGTCTTTTAGTCAATTTGTAGGTAGGTACACATGAGTATTATGTCAATTGGACGTCAGTCAAATTATCAAGTGTGATACATCGTTGATGTTAGGATTGATTGCACTTTTTTTATGTTCCGGTTCCCACGAAAAGGGATACCCCGTAATATTCAGAGAACATCGTGAGAACCAAGCGAAATAAGGTAGGAACGAGGTAGGAATTGGTGTTCTTATTAAATTTCTGGAGGTTATATGCCTCGGTGAACACCTCCCTTGGCAATGTGTTCCAGAGCCTCGCTGTTCGTTGGATGAACGAGTCTTTGGAAAGAGATGTTCTGCAAATCTCCAAAGTGACCACGAAGGGGTGCGAAGCCTCAACTCGACGGGCTAATCTCGCGGGGACTGCCAATCTACGGTGTTCCAGAGAAGTGAGTGAGTTTGTGAGCGAGGCATCACCCACGAGACGAATTGCCCTTTTTGGGGCAGAATTCAACAGTTTCAGGATATGTTTGGGTTCTGCACTCCAAATATATATAATCATACATTTAAACTCGCATTTAAACAAGAAAATGTCGAGAAAAAATTGAGTTGGGGTGGTTTTTCTGGGGTAGTTTGACAGAAGTTTACTTTGACACAATGGCTTCTGAGTCATCGTGGTTTGACAAAAGTGTAATTCTTTTTAATTTTTTCCCAAACAACATGACTGAGATATTGGCTGTATGAAAATATCTGGGACACCCGGTATGGTGTATGAATCGAGGTTTCATCGAGGGTTTCATCAAAGAGATTATTGTGGAGCTATTGCCAACAAATCCTATACCTTGCATTGCTCATTTCAAGGTAATCGGTCACCGAATTTTAATGTAGATATATGTAGATAATGTCGATGGATTATCTCACTATTGTGTCAGTGAAACACTCGTTGAAACATGTCGTGTTCGTTAATTAAGAATTTTGTGGAAATCTTATCGCATGTGGAGTTTTTTCGCATGAAAATATTTTACCATCGTTAACCATACAAATGAATTTCCCTCGGAATTCACAAACTAGCTGAAATACCTACATTTACCTGAAAATTCTTTATTGTAGTAAAACGTACAATTAAAATCGCCTTCAAAGAATTGAAAAAACAAACGATGATTGTATAATGAAGTATAAAGTAGGTATAGGTAATACCTAGGTAATACATAGCTATACCCTCCCTCACGTTTGGTATAAGTATATGAAAACATGCATTTCATCTCACATTTCATCCATTTCTATAAGTGATTGGTAAGTATCTGAAGCATTTTATTCTGACATTTCATTACATTTCAAGCTATTCAAATGCATTCCAAGCCATTTCGTGACATTTCACTACAATAGCATTTCAAACCATTTTGTGATATTTCAAGCATTTTAATTCATTTCATGACTTAAAAGGTATTTCAAAGCATTCCAAGCATTTCAGAACATTTCCAACCATTTCCTCATAGCATTTCATTTTATTTTATGTAATTTCAAAATATTTCAAAGCATTTCAAAATATTTCAATGCATTTCAAGGTATTTAATGCATTTCAAGGAATTTCATGGCATTTCACGAAATTTCAAAGTATTTCAAGGCATTTCATGCTATCTCAGAAATGATATTCCATTTTATTTCATGTCATTTCAAAATATTTCCAAGCATTTCAAGGTATTTCATGGCATTCCAAGGAATTTCATGGCATTCCAAGGAATTTCATGGTATTTCAAGGGATTTTAAAGTATTTCAAGGCATTTCATCGAGATTTCATGGTATTTCAGGAATGTCATTTCATCTTAATTCATGTCCTTTCCAAATATTTCAAAGCATTTCAAGGTATTTCATGGCATTTCAAGGACTTTCAAAGCATTCCAAGGATTTCAAGACATTTCATGGTATTTAAGAAATGGCTTCGGAAATGGCATTTCATGACCTGTTCCACGCATTTTCTTAGTGGTAACCGAGCATGCATATATACATCCACACTTATTTTTCAATGTTCCTACTATCACCTCCAGAAAGATCGGTACACATTTTTGTCCTCGTTTTTTATTCACCTTATATAGTCCGAAACGGTCCGAAATATGTCCTGATAGTCCTTCGATTAAAAAATGTTGTGGAGGTATAACTGGTTTCCTCCTGAGTAGGTAATTATAATTTATACTCGGGTTTATATGAAGAATTCAATAAGAGTTAAGTAGTTTATCTTCTGTAGTCTATGGTTAAGTCACCGAACATTTATAAACGTGGCTAAGTAGCTAGTCTATTAGCACCTCCAGTCTTCCAGTGCAGAAGCCTTCAAAGGGCGTTCACAATTCAGGTAGAAAAAGAAAACTAAACCGAGTAGGTATTCTCCGAAAGGATATAATAGAAAACCGGGTCGAAAACTGAGTGCTGTGTAGTGAAGCTTAGAATTATTGCGAATTGTGAGTGCAAACAAGGATGCCAGAGCGAGTGCCAGAGGCTGCCTGCTTTCCTTATTTACAGGGTGTTTCATAATGGGCGTGTAGGTACACCTTAGTAGAACTTTTAACTCAAACCATGTTTATAATGATCCTTTTATACATAAAAATTGATTGACATAATTCAATCGAAAAATTTACTGGAATGTTTTATTCTTGGACATACTTAAATAATAGTACCTTCTGAGAACGGACCCTCTTATGACGTAGAAACCTCATCTCGCCACATACTTAAAAGAAAATACCAAACGCCCGACGGAGACTGAGGCAACTGATATATTAATTCTTTCAACTGTGATCTATTCATCTACCATTCATCTCTGTCTGGAATAGTCTTGTTTCAGTATTAGGGTTTTGACGTCACATCATCGCCTCGTTTTCAGAGGTCCGAAAAATCGGGGATTTCAATAATTTTTCATAAAACGTAGGGAACTCACAGCAAG